TACACAGAGGTCTCAAGGCCCACCCAAATTTTTGTTTACCTATATTCTTAGAGTTGAAGTATAAAGTTAGTGATCTTACTTTACAGGCTATGTACCATGGATATGTTTTATTAGATTCCACATAGTTGTTCTTATTCAGATTGTGTTTTACTTGTCCAAATAAAACCATTTCATTTACAAATGCAGCTCAATAGACAACCCAAGCTTGCAACAAAACAGTACATGTTTTAATTTGATTCTCAAAATGAGAAGCACAAATATGTGATGTTTAGTTTGCATCTTAGAAACTGTTTTATGTTTTTGGAAATAGTTTCGGAGAGAAAGGTTGTTTGGGCAATGGTTTTTTTATTTTTGTTTTTTAAAAACTGAGTATAAAAATTGGGTAGATTTAAAGAACAAGTTAGACTTGTTTTTTGTATTTTTTAGAAACCACATTTTCAGAATTTTGAAAATACCATCACCACCACCCTTCCACCAATTCACCACCACGATACTTCCATCACCACTATCGCTACCACACTTCCACCACCACTATCACTAGCACATTTTTGTTTTCATTATTTTTTTAGTTATTGTCCAAACAACTTTTATTGTTTTTTTTTTTGAATCATATAATCAAATAAGTTCTGCGACACAAAAAATATACAAACACACTTATCTAAAATTCTTCTCAAAGATAATTTTTAGATACTGTTTATTTTTTGAGACGCAAATTAAATAAGGTGATATTCTTCCCACAATCCATATCCATGGTCTCATTAAGTTGATGAGTTGGTGGCGGCTTCCTGATTGCAAAGAATATGAGTGAGTTGAACATCAACCAGGGAATAAAATCCTCTAGAAATTGAAAATCATCCTTCTCGACATGTGAAGTTGGGTAGTGGTCAATACATATTCCATCCCTTTATTCTTCATGAATGTCAAAATAAATGATACAATTATTGTATTATACTTCATGATTATATTTTATGATTTTTAATTTTGAAAAAACTTGACATATTTCAAACTAAAAATTCTTGTGAATAAAATATATTTTAAAATAACAAAGAATTATACTAAGAGAACAATCTAATATCTTATAAAAATCAATAAAAATTAAACACAATATCACCGGATAAATACAAATTGTATAAGCTTTAAATTGACGATTTGTTCGCCTCCCAAATCAGCTACTATTTCAAACTTTCACAGTAAAAAAAAAATAATTGCATTAAATTAATCCTATCAATAAAAATATTAAAAAAAATAAATAATTAATCAACTAAATATGTACCTTTTCAATTTAAACTAGGTTGCAAGAGAGAGATACATAAGTATGCTATGAGTAATGTTACGCTGACCAAATTTTGAGACTAAATCAAGAGTCCAAATGACATCACACCTGATTATTTTGAGTCTTTATTGAGGCCCAAATAACATGGCACCACATAAAGAAACCTAAATCAGGTGTCATGTCAATTGGGCTCTTGATTTGGTCCTAAAATTTGGTTAGTGTATTATAACCGTTATGTTATATGAACTTTTTTTACTTGGAGAGAGAGAAAGAGTAGACTTTTAGGCTTTAATTATGGAAGATTAATTTTTGTTTTTTTTTTAGAACTTTCAAGGTTTTTCACCGTCCGAAAAAGTGAGAGAGGGAAGTGAATTGGGCCTTTATTTTAGTCTAGATCTCGTAATAATTTTTATTAGATTGGACTCTTTAAATCAAAACTTTTGGCCCAATTTAAATTGTAGTTAAAGATTATACTTATTGTTTGGATGCTCTCTTTTTTTGGGACCCTAAACAGTTGCGCTTAATCGACATTTCTATTGGGCTGGCCTGTAAATTGTCTACATCCACGAAACTAATGCTTATGAGATAGATCGATGTATTATGGGTTCTTTGAAAGTCGGTATACCTAATTAGACTTATTTGACAAAAATATATAGAATAAAATGTGAGTTAAAAAGACATAAATGCCCATTTTAGGGTCATTTAATTCAAAATCTCTTATCTTTAATGCACCTTGATTCATGTGTGTTTGTTAATACATATAAATACGTATTTAATATACTTTAATTCATGTGTATTTGTTATTACACACACACACACACACACACACACACATATATATATATATATATTTGTTGTTAAATCTCTTATTTAAATTTGAATTATCTTTAATACACATTGATTCATGCGTATTTTTTTTTTAAAAAGTGATTTTGTTTTCAAATTATATTTAATGCACCTTGATTCAAGCGTTTGTTTATTTTTTGAAAAATAGTTTTATTTTTAAATTAATTTAATATCCGAATAATGTAATAGTATAATAATAACAGTGTAACAAAAATACTGTAATAAAGACACTGTAACAAATACACTGTAACAAAAACAATGTTAAGTAGTTTTGTATATATGGTAATAAATTCAAAACGGATATGTACTATTTTAAATGAAATTATATGGAATTATATGTTTGACAAAATGTAATAGTACAATATTTTATGTAAATAACTTGTTACACTATTATTGTTATAGTGTTACACTGTTACACTTTTATTGTTATATTGTTACATTTTTATTGGTACACTGCTATTGTTACACTATTATATTATTCGGATATTAAATTAATTTGACAATAAAACCACTTTCTAAAAAAAAATGCATGAATCAAAGTTTATTAAAAGATAATTCAAAATTTATATAAGAGATTTAACAACAAATATATACATACATATACATAAGTATAAGTATATATATATATATATATATATTAAAATTCTCCCATAAAATTAGAAGATGTTTAATGCACCACTTTTTTCTTTGAAAAGTGGTGCATTAAATATACATGAATTAATGGAAGGCAAAAATGTCACAATAAAAATAGATAAATTCAAATTATGTATGTGGATACAAATAAGTATCAAAATTAAGTATTTAATAACCCTACATTTTTTAGTGTATATTTTTTACTAAATAAATCTAATTTGGTGTATCCTTTTACAATTTACTCATGTATTATTGAAGGTAATTGATTACATATGACTCAATCTTATTTATAGGGTGAGAATTATATATGATATAAAATAAATATACATGTTTACTATTGTCTATGTTTATTCGTACAATTCGATATAAAAAGATCTTTGTAGATCTCATCGTATATCTACCTAGATTTGATTAATCTCTCCTCAAGTTGGTACACGGAGACAATGAGATCAAGTGTTCAACTCGAACCGAAAAGTGAATTGATCGTCGGACCGTAACATTTTACTCTATTTTTCCATCGGAAACAGTTCTGTCGGAGGTAGTTCTTTTGGATGCGAACAAAACATGATAATTTTTTTTTTTGTTTTTCTTTTTTGAGTTTTTTTTTTATTCTTCTCTGATCGGACTGTTGCTCCACGTCCTTTTCTCTCTTTCTAGGACTCTTTGATTGTCAGACCACTCCCATACAGTAGGACACCTGTCCAAGTGTGCTGAGTCACGAAGTTTGTCAACAGCTTTATGTACCAAAAAAATAAATGAGAGAAGGCTCCGACAACTGATAGCCACGATTTGGCCCGGCAAACGGGTCGAGCGGAATGATTTCGTATTTGATGAAATGAATTTATGTTAAAAAATTTTTATTTATATTTCATACGTTTATATAAACGAATTTAACAATCACATTCATATACGATTCATTTATTAGACGAGTTATCCGATATAACTCATGTGTCACCCGCTAATAAGAGAATATGTTAAATTACTTCGAGTATACATAAAAAATTATCAATTTGTTACACATTACACATATTTGACATGTTTATTATAATAATAAATCATGACTGAGCAAAAAAATAAAGACAAAAAATAAACATTAAATGACTACTAAATTTGAATGAGTTTAAGAGATGAGAAGTATGAGATGAGATAGAAGCTGAGAGACCTAACTTTTTTTAAAAAAAATTTATAATACAACTGTTAACGGGTTAAACGAGTTGAAACGAATTTATGGATTAAACACGAAACCGGTTCATTTATTTCACAGGTCTGCCGGGTTAACCTATTAACCACCCGAACCCTTTAAGACTACACCCAAATTCAGGAGTGATCTTTAGAAGTTCCGGTCTAACCACAATGCAAGCAAGAGAAGTGGCAAAGACGGTGAGACTTAAGTCATTGTGTAGGGCCCTCAAACTAAAAAAAAATTTTGGGCCTCAAAATAAAATAAATAATTATTATTTTAGAATACAATTTAAATATTTAATATATTTTAATTATTGAATTAATATTGAGTGTTAAGTTAAAACAAAATTCACTATTTATTTAATGTACTTAGTCTTCAAATTAAGTATAACTTATATTGTTATAAAATTTTTAGTATCTCTTTTAAAAATTTAGGATTCTAAAGTTTAGCTTATTTTTTTATCTCACTTGATATTTATGTATTATCACTTTACAGTCTTATTATTAAAATTAATTATCTATCGTATAATAAACACGTTTTCTCCAATGTCTAATTTTTTTTTAAAAAAAAGGGATCAAAAGTGAAATTATTGAATCTGTTTTTAAAAAGTGTCGTAATTTGATAAATAAGTTTAAAAATACCATATTTTGGTTTTTTTGTTTAAAAATTGCTATATTTTGGTGATTAATTCATAACTTATATCTTCATGTTCTTACTACATATCTTAAAGTAATAAAATATTTTGACGACTCTAGCCATTTAAAGTGGACATAAATCACGTTGATCGAATTACTATAAATCCTTGTATTATTTGTGTTATTATCTCTCTTTACTTAATTACTACTTTAATTACTAATCTTTTGACAGGTGATGTACAAACTTAATTTATGCGTCAAACGCTCACTCTTGCGTAGAGCTAGGTTTCAATACCATTGGATACGACTTTAGTTTCAGGATTACCCATTTGCTTGGCGGCAAATTGTTTTAACTTTCAGTTGTGTGGCATGTACAAAGTCCCAACTCACCATTGTCTAATGTTTAGCTAAACAATCACACCCAAATCAAATGCAACACCTTCCATCCATTCTCAGACCTCCCAAACCAAAATCCCTAATCTCTCTCCTCTCATACCCTGGTCCTCTCTCTCCCACCTACAGCAACTTTTCACTCTCTCTATTGGAAACCCACAGACACCCCAACCATTTCAACCAAATTCTCTCTCTTGCCATCACTTCAGGCCTCTTCACAGACCCATTTGTGTCCAGCAAACTCCTCCACCACTCCCTTTCTAATTCCAATTTTTCACTCGAATTCTCGCACACCCTCTTTTTCCAGATTCAAAACCCTAATATCTTTGCCTGGAGTTTCATCCTCCGAGCCTTCTCTCAGAGCTCGGTTCCAGAAGAAGCAATTGTTCTATACAATCTCATGCGGCGAAAAAACATTGTCCCCGGTAAATATGTTTTCCCTTTTGTGCTTAAAGCTTGCGGGCGAGTATTGGGTCTTGAAAAAGGCCTAGAAATTCATTGTTTGAGTGTGAAAATGGGGCTTGAGTTCGATATTTTCGTTCAAAACGCGCTAATTTCAATGTATTTTCAATGTGGGTTTGTTGAGTTTGGTAGTAGAGTGTTTGATTTGGTTCCGGGCTGGATTCGGGATGTGGTGACTTGGAATAGTATGATTTCTGGATATTTACAGAGTGATTCTTGTGAAAAAGCATTGAAGCTGTTTGGGGAATTGTTGTGTGATAGCAATGTAAGCCCTAATGAGGTGACTTTAGTGAGTGCTATAACGGCATGTGCAAGGATTGGATTGCTTGATTTGGGGAGGAAAATTCATGGGTTAAGTGTGGTTAGTGGGTTTGTTGTTGATGTGTTTTTGGGTTCTTCTTTGATTGATATGTACGCAAAATGTGGGCGATTAGAGGATGCTCAAAAGGTTTTTGACAGAATTACAGATAGAAATATAGTATGTTGGACATCAATGATAGCTGGCTATGTTCAGTTGGATTTATTTAAGGAAGCGATAGAGTTGTTCAGGGACATGCAGGTTGTTGGTGTTCAAGCAGATTCTGCAACCGTTGCTTGTGTTGTTTCTGCATGCGGGCATTCGGGAGCATTAGATCAGGGGAGGTGGGTGCATAGCTATTGCGAAAGGAACGGCATTGAGCAAAACCTTACGGTAAAGAATGCTTTGATTGACATGTATTCTAAGTGTGGCGATATTGAAAAAGCTGTTGAGATTTTTCATGGGTTGATGCGTAGAGATGTTTATTCATGGAGTGCAATGATTTCTGGGCTTGCCATGAATGGACAGTCTGTCAAAGCATTGCAATTGTTTTCACAAATGGAAATCTTAAGTGAAATTAGGCCAAATGAGGTAACATTTCTTGGGGTCTTATCTGCCTGTAGTCATGGCGGATTAGTGGATGAGGGGTTTTACTACTTGGAAACAATGGCTCAACGCTATAATCTTACCCCTCGCATTGAACACTACGGGTGTATGGTTGATGTTCTTGGTCGTGCAAACCTTTTGGTCGAGGCTGAGAAGTTTATCAGGTCACTGCCCCTTGAGCCTGACATTATAATGTGGAGATCCCTGCTTTTTGCTTGTAGAAGCCATGGGAATTTGGAATTGGCAGAATTTGCTGCCAACAAAATAGAGGAATCGGAACTAGAAAGATGTGGGGCACATGTTCTATTGTCCAATGTTTATGCCTCTGCCTCAAGGTGGAGCGATGTGAAGAGGGTAAGGAAAGGTATGGCTGTTCAGGGTATCCAGAAGCAGCCAGGTTGCTCTTTTATTGAAATAGATGGTATAGTTCATGAATTTTTGGTTGCTGATGATTCCCGTTGTCGGATAGAAGTCATAAGAGAATCGATTTTGGGGATTAATAAAGTTCTGCGATCTGAAGTGTTTGACCCAGATATCTTGGATTGTTAGCTGTAATGTGAGTGACTTGGCTAAATTGAATGACAATCAAAGATGGTTCTTATGACTTTATGGGTAGATTAAACTAGAAACATCAGCTTCCATAGAAAGTCAATGATCAGCAAACTCGAATAAGGTTAGATGTCAATGTTGGAGTTGTTGTAGTCAGAATTGAATCATGAGATGAGGCGGCAAGGAGAAACTGAAGGCTATACGCATACGGGTTTTATTTCTTGTTTATGGGACAATATTGAATGCAACTATGCAAGTGTCTGCCTTTCGTTTTATGCCAATGTGACGTGAACAAATTGTAAACTCATGGCGGTCCAAGAAGGTACCATTAGACAGCACCAACCAAATTCCGTAACTTGATTCTTAGACCTTCATGGGAATCAAGGTGAATACTAAGATATGTCACTTGGAAGCTCCGGATCGGGGAAAAGATAGGAAGTTTGACAGCAGCACGGATGTTGATAAATGAGATAAATATGTGATTCTCTGGGACAAATATGGCCAGCATCACACTGTTCATTCCAAAGACAATGTTTGAGGCTAATTCCAAGTAAACTTCTCTTCCTTAAGCTCAAATTGTCTCCATCCAGACCTGGGCTTCAGCACAACCTTATCGATTTTATCCGACTTAATCCCCCGCCGTGACTATTCAAATTAATCCTAGCTACTGATCCTCAGTAAGGAGTCTCTCAAACTGAAATTGTTGTTCACATTGCAAGATCTGATCTGTCCCAAAGGAATGAGAAACTGCAGCAGCCTTGATGCTGGTCTCCCTATGTTCCATTTGGCCGAGAAGTAAATTGTTGTGTGGAAGAATCAATATCTCGACATAAGCCAAGAGGCAAATCTTGTGCCACTCCACAGGGTCTTATGAAACCGGCATACATTCCGACTCCCGAGACTGTTTCATAGAATTCTAACAATTTATCCCTTCCGGTAAAACATTCGGTTCACGAACTGAAACCTATCTCCACAACAAGCTCCTCAATTTGACCCGTCTGTGAAGCTTAAGTGGTCTCCAAAAGCTACTACAACCTTCTTGATTGCTACACCAGTATTGGGTCATAAAACCATGAGTCCGCTTAATCAGGCAAATAAAGCATACAGGTACTCCCCGAGTTCCTTTGATCTTTAGTGCTCGTCATTTAAGCTAACATGCGTTAGTAATGAAACCAACCAACCAATACATTACACTAGGATTATGAATTAACTTGGTTAGGAATTTCCAGTTTTACGATACATCAAAGTTTACAATCTTGGATCCAGTGTCCTATGTCACATTACAGTCGAGCAAACAAAGGACAGTCCCTAAAAGCTGGGTCATATTTAGTTAAGCTTCGGATCAACTCCAACTGACTTCAATGTCTCTGCTCGCGGCTGCAATCTGTCATTTAACAGTTGAGACAACAAAACCGACATCAGCAAAACCGTTTAGAAACCAAGACCATTGTTCAGGTTGAAGAACTTAGACCAATCAAATTCATGTAGAATATTTATTGTGTTTTGCCAGATTCATGTCGTATCGTGTCATACATGCCTACCCATTTACGGCAATCTCACTGTTATTACGTTAATTTCAGGTGATATCTTTAGTCAGATTTATATTGTATCGTGTCATACGAGCAATGCTATTGAGACCTAAAAATTTAACCTACATGTCTACCCATTTACTGCAATCTCACTATTATTACGTTAATTTCAGGTTCTTTCACTGTCACATGGCGGATAGTACTTCCGAATAGGATGCACACAGTGAAAACAATCACCTGGCAAAGAGATCTCCACGGGTGGGATCAGTCATGACATATTGACGGTGTAACTCCTGTACATGGGCCACTCTTCGAAAGAAAGACTTGGTGATGAATTTGAGAGCTTCATCCACCACAGTTTCAGGCTCCACCACCTCCGGCAGAGTCTCTCTCCTCGACTTCTTCACGAACACGCCTGGGGCGTACCTCAGTTGTAGCATTCCTATGTGAAGCCCGAAACTCATCGACATCATTATCAACCCCACCGCCACATACACCGGCACAAAATCTCCCCTCACCGCCCTGTTTTTATACACTCAAGGAAAGGTACCAATTATGCATCACAAGACAATTTTTCCACAATGTAGCTAATTTCTAGTTCTCAAAGAGTTTTTCGAAACAAAGGAAAAAGATCAAATTACACCTAGACGAGCTATTCGGAATTAGCTTAGATAGGACTGGACTAAAAATCAACGAGTGAGACGATGTGAAACTCAAACAATATGAGAAAAGTTGATAGTTTAAGAACAAGGTGTAAGGGGTAGAACCCTCCACTCAGGATTTCGGCTTGACCTGGGTTAACCCACGCGGGCGACCCCCCAGTAGCCTTTACCTCTCTTCGCCAATAGGACCCTTTCCTAAGGCAATCCCACATCGGAAGAGAGTCGTCTTCCCCCCTCGCATATAAGCCCTTGCACTCAAAGGAGGAGGTACCCACTAGGCACCTGATCAGGTCGCTAGTGGGTACCTCCTCCTTTGAGTGCAAGGGCTTATATGCGAAGGGGGAAGACGACTCTCTTCCGATGTGGGATTGCCTTAGGAAAGGGTCCTATTGGCGAAGAGAGGTAAAGGCTACTGGAGGGTCGCCCGCGTGGGTTAACCCAGGTCAAGCTGAAATCCTGAGTGGAGGGTTCTACCCCTTACAAAAAAGGCGCCTTTTTTGTAAGGGGTAGAACCCTCCACTCAGGATTTCGGCTGACCTCCCCACATTAGGCTAGGCCAGGGCTCCGGCTCAAGAAGAGGGGTAAAGGCTACTCCCGAACGCGCGGAGGTCAGCCGAAATCCTGAGTGCCTTTTTTGTAAGGGGTAGAACCCTCCACTCAGGATTTCAGCTTGACCTGGGTTAACCCACGCGGGCCTTTTTTGTAAGGGGTAGAACCCTCCACTCAGGATTTCAGCTTGACCTGGGTTAACCCACGCGGGCGACCCTCCAGTAGCCTTTACCTCTCTTCGCCAATAGGACCCTTTCCTAAGGCAATCCCACATCGGAAGAGAGTCGTCTTCCCCCCTCGCATATAAGCCCTTGCACTCAAAGGAGGAGGTACCCACTAGCGACCTGATCAGGTGCCTAGTGGGTACCTCCTCCTTTGAGTGCAAGGGCTTATATGTGAGGGGGGAAGACGACTCTCTTCCGATGTGGGATTGCCTTAGGAAAGGGTCCTATTGGCGAAGAGAGGTAAAGGCTACTGGAGGGTCGCCTGCGTGGGTTAACCCAGGTCAAGCCGAAATCCTGAGTGGAGGGTTCTACCCCTTACACAAGGTATAATTTGTCACAAGAAAATCCTCATGAACTGATCGACAAGGTATCATTTAAGGACCCATTTTGCATTTTAAAAAGCTTTCAACAGATTTCAATGGCTGAAGTTATTGTTCTTACCATGGCAGCTTGATGTATTCATACACTCCTGAATCGCCCGCAGGGGCATAGGCCTCCTTTGTCTGTGATGTCGACGTGGCAAAAGGAGAGTTTCCTCTTAAACGACTGACAATGGATTTCCAGTAATTCTGCAGTATCAAACATGATAATTCCATACGAATCAGTAGTGAGAAGCATAGAGTAGGGAAGGAAGTCAAATATGCATATAAGATGAAGAAGATTGCAAATTAAAACATACCACGCCTAGGCATGTTTAGGTGAAGATTTAATTTGGAAAACGACTCACCAGTGACCTGAAAGCCATGTTTGGGAATCAAGAAAAGGGTATTAAGAGTCGAGAGTAATCACGTGAGCACTGACCAAATGCTATTCCTATAGCTTCTTCCTTGTTTTGCTTCCGGTTAAGTTTATTTATATGTTTGTGTTTTATGTAAAGGACATATGGATTGGAGGGACACCGAGAACAGCATCAGCGGCGCATGTGGAAGACACTCGTCATGAAGGTAAATGATACACGCTATGTGAATGCCCCTTTAAGCAACACCTCATCTTTCCTAAACTAAATATCTTTTTGTGAAGGAATGCAACAATAGATTTAAGCACTGTTATCGGAACCGGACCGGTTCAACCGTGAATCGGGACCTTAACCGGTCCGGTTCCTTAGTTGAATCGTTTAAGAAAGTGAACCGACTAAAAACCAAAAAATCGGCCGATTTTTGTTAAAAATCGGTTTTTAAAAATTAAATTACATAAATAAATTTTTTTGTCCTAAATCAGTAAATAGTTTATTTTTTTTAACCTTATTCTTGGAAAAATTATAAATGACACTCCTTCTTTTTCTTTATAATTTACTTGAACCTCTTTACTTTGCTTTAAAATACAATAACCCTCACTTTGTTACTTAATTTCATTAATTTTATGGCAAATTTTATGTATTTTATACATATTTTATATTTTTTAGCTAAATTATTAAGTTTTATAATTATTATATATATATTTTTATTTTTTTATTATATGACCGGTTCGACCAGTTGAACCAACAGTTGAACCAGTGAACTATTGATCCGGTCCCCTTGTCGGTTCGATGATCGGTCCGATTCTGATAACATTGGATTTAAGTATCAAATACTGATTCAATTGAGTGTTACTATTGGTTTAACAATAGATTTAAGTATTACATAGAGTTCATTATCAATACAAGGATGAATTATATTTTTCACCATGAAAGATTTTAAGATTCTCATTTTGTACTCTCAAAAATTAAATTTATCATATTATACTTGTAATGTATCAAAAGTGTTACAATGTGACTCTTATGTTAACTTTTTTAGTTTTTTTATTTGTGTCAATGAGTTAATTTTTGACTGAAAAGAATAACGAAAGTTAACAGTAGAATCACATTGTAACATTTTTGATATATTAAAGGTATAATATGAAAAATTAATTTAATATTTGAAGGTGTAAAAAAATCATGCTTTTTTTTTCTTAAAATCAAGAAAAAAGTGAAATTTCAGTTTGTAGCTATTGGATATAATAAAACATTGTGGTTGGGTGTCTATATAGATTATAACCCACTATTTTTCTTCTAGTGTCACACCTTTAGTTACATAATTCTTCTAAACTCATAACAGTTTAGCGCTCCACGAGCGCATTTGTGCTCTAAGAACAAATTCTCTGTGAATTCGTGCTTTCGTTTTATAAAATTTGTTAATTTAATTTTTTAATTTGCGAATTCGATTAATTCGTGCTCTTACAAACTTATATGCTTACGTATTATTACTTAAATTTTTATTTGGGAATTATTGACCGAGACCTAAAGATACATATCAAACTAGAATAATGTTTGTAAACTATAATTTGTATTTTAGGACTTTATAATCAATATAAATTTAAAAATTATATAGTTTTTCTTATAATTGTGCATGAATTTTTTTTTTTTATATTTTATTTATATTAAACTGTTATGGGTGAATGTGTATGTAATTATATATAATATGACGCTCTTAAGATGCTTTCGCTTTTAATTTCAATTTTTTTTTGGAATGTTGAAGTTTTGGTGCTCTTGTTCTTGCCCCCATTTCTGCTCTGTGTGATATAGGTCATACCGACGTTGGTTTGGTCTTGATAAACACATAATTATCATTTATAAAAAAAAAAAAAAAACAAATACTATAAATTTGACCTGTGCTATTGGCATCAACTTACCAAAGAATTAATGAAATAGAAAGATTGAGATGAAACGACCAGGTCCTAGGAGGATCTGAAGTGGAACCAGCTTCTTAATCTCAAGTACCAAACAGAGTAATGTTCCCTTATGAGCTTGTGTGAAAGAGACTAAGGTTTTCAATATGCGATGAGATGGAATTGTTTGTCATTTGTGTTTTGTACTTTTGCAGTACGAGGTGTAGCAAAGAAACATATAGTACATGTCTTGTCTTATGCTCTGACCCTCATGCGACCGTGCGGCTCTGGCAAAACAAAGGGTCATTATAGATGGTACAAGCTGAAGTGGAGCCACATCAACCTTAATCTAAATTCTGTTTTTTTTTAATCCAACCTTGCTCTGAATTCAACTACCAAATTATTTGAATTTCGAATTCGAGTACCTCTATGATTCCCTAAGGTTAAATCAAGTGAGATTATTACTTTGATTAATACCTCAAACTTTTAAATTATTAAACGTGTTAAGTCTGTCAAAAATTTATTAACGGTTTGCAACTTGCGATGAAGGTAATGTTTGGGTTGATATTTTCTTGGGGGCTATTGAGGAGTCTTTCTGTCTCTAGTGAGTTCGTCATTACTACCATGTGGCTGATCCTCCTGCTTTGTATTACTACCATTCCTCTAAGTATGGCTTAGAGTTCGGCTTGAATGCTTATAGTGTCCTTCAATCTTCCATAAAATCAAATTAACCAACGGCCTTGGTCATTCTTGATGATTCCTCCCTCCTAAAAGGCCTGGGTTACCCAATGAACAGATCCATCTATTTCATCAAACAGATCCAAATGGGTCTATTTTTTTTCAATTTATGAATGTTTCCAAGTTGATCTATTTTTTTTTCTCGTATTCTTTGTGTTTTAGAGGTTTTATTAAGTTGTATCGTCTTTTTTGAGTTGTAATTAAACTAATTTGATAGCATGTTGTGGATTAAAAACCACAGCCCCTCCTTGTTGGATCAGTCCAGGGACCGGTGGGTCACCAAACATTCGGGTCAGATGTGGCCCACTGAATTTTTTGCCCTGGCTTAGGTGGGCCACACCATGGTTATTCTGGTTGCCATCATGTCAAACCAATCACCGAATTCAAATACAAATACAAATTCAGCAAATTTTTTTTTTTTTTTTTTGACGGAAAGGGGTGTTTGAATCAATAAATATACACTTCAATTAATTTATTCTTCGGTTTGATCAAAAATGGATTATCCACGGATAAAGATATTCATACAATCTGATTCTAAAAATTTGTTAAAATTTAAATTTAATATGTTTGATTTTGCAGCCTGTTTCAATTATTTATTTATTTATTTTAGATCCAGTCTCGATTATTATTTATACTATCCCCAATTAAGATTAAAATTTAAACACAATTTGGAACCATGGTTAATGGGTCAGCAGATAAAAGTCAAGACCAAATTTCTCTGTCATCATAAATAAACTCATTAAGAAAGTAACCAAAACAGAATCTCTCACTGTAACACTATATAGAAAGCGTATCTATATGTAGAGATTGCATACTTCTCTGCTTACCCACTTCTCTCTCTCTCTCTTCCTTTTACACTTCTTTAAATACAATTTCCTTTCTTCCCTCTGGCTTCTCATCCGGAGAAAGCAAGGCGAATCATTTATATTCTTAAGACTTTTCTTGGAAAATTTTAATCTTTTTCCTGATTTCATTGTTTTTTCCGACGGATTTCGTAAGATTTGATATCGTTGGCAACAGCTTTCCAATTTGGCAATTTCTTTCTTTCTTTCCTTCCTTTTTTTTTTTTTGTTGGTTTGGGATATATACAAACAACTGTACGTGTATATATCGGCACACACCTATATATATCTATAGTGAGTTTGTGGTTTGGAGTGGGGGTGAGAGTTGCAATTGCGATTGTCAGCTACAATGGTGCACACACTGTTCGAATGGCGATATGGTGGTCACCAGGTTTCTCTCTGCGGTTCGTTTAGTGGGTATGTTGTGTTTGTCAACCTTGTTGTTTCTCTTTGTGCAGAGGTATGTATTTGTGTTGATTAAGATAATGATGTTATATGTGAAGGTGGACTGAGATACCTATGATTTTGCTGGAGGGTTCCTCCATGGTTTTCCAGATAATTTGTGATCTTCCTCTGGGTTATCACCAGGTATAATCAACATGGCCCCTCATTCCTTTTATCTCTGTATCAGATGATCAACCACTAAATTGTTTGGGATGGTTGTGAAATTGATAGAAAACTACCATCAAACCTGGACTTGAGATGAGAATCAATTTCAGTTGGTAAATACTAATTTCCTGGGTAAAATTAGTTTTGATTGGCTTCAATAATCTCATTAAAGCTTCAAATTTGGAGCCCATTAGGATAAGGAAAGTAGATAGAAAGAATTCCATTGTTATTAAGAACCTTTTAAGTGAATTTTAATGCATGTTGAGTGTTAAGATCTTAATTGAGTGCAATGTTTGTTTCGAAAGTTTTATTAGGAGTATTAATGATGCAGTTCCATTCGATTTTGTCCAGCGGTTCATATCTTTGTTTTATTGTTCAATATACATGCAATTCATATTGATTTGAGTGTGGCAGATTTTAGACGAGTCTATGCAAATGGCTGAATACTGATATAAAGAAGAAAAATGGCTGCTGAGTGATATACCTTGAAATTTATCCCCAGCCTTCTAGCTTGAATGGTATCTCATCCTTTGTTTCTGGTTGAAGGAGCAGGGTCTTATTATGGGTTGTGGTAGCTACCTTCATTGGGTTGCTTGGCCCGCCGATAAAGAAAGGAAAGAAAAGAGATTTTGAATATTTCTCCTTAGTTGTAATTAAAATCTTGGGTAATAGGTTCTATGATTTCAAATCAACCATCAAATTTTTTTGCCTTAATAGCATAGTGTGCTTCTTAACAAATGTTTAACACATGCAATTTACTATTGTTTAGTCCATGTATTACTCTTTACACCACATTAGTGTAGGTATAGGATGTGTGTTTGCTACATGTTAATGTGATTTTAAACAAGAGGGGTAGAGTATGCATTTCTACATCGCGAGTAGCTTTGTAGAATGCTTCTTATGTGGGGAAAAAGAAGTTCTTTGTATTACCTTTTGGATCTCTTTTCTGCATTGTAAAATAGGTCAATTACACATCAGTTTGTAATGAGGTCAAGGGAAGAAGAAAGTGGACTTTTCAACAATTCATTCTCGTAACGCATGCTATTTTGTCAGAAAGTATTGTAACGCATGCCATTTTGTCAGAAAGTATTGTAACGCATGCATTAAATTGGAGAAAGATGGCTCTTTTAGTACTTTAGTAGGATGCGGTTTCGTGCAACACATGTTGCCTTATTCCTTTTTTATCTTACTTGAGAAGAGACACGCACATGGTTGCGGTTATTGTTTTTACTTTTATACTTGTGTTGATTTACCAATTTTGTGTGTGTTGCTTAATCATGGTCGCCAGCTTGCTAGCATGCTATTACATGCACTGTTTTTTGTTTACCTTTACATATCCCATAGACGTAAGTGGGTGCATGTGCATGGCATGTGCATGTACATGTACATGTACATGAGTATTCTTTGAGATCACCATTTAATGACCTTCTGGCTTTACATCTATGTTTCGTAATTTTGTTGCAATTGTTTTTTATGTAGTTTTTATTTTTGTATTTTCCCGGCTAAGTATCCTTACCCTGCTATTAAATCATAGTTGTCGATTAGAATGTTAGCTGTATTGGTCTTGATGGCTTGGATATAGAAGAAATATCACTCTTATTTATTGTATAGTACTACATCATTGTGATTAGTTGGCACCAAATATGTAATGCAGTACAGATTCTTGGTTGATGGCGTATGGCGATTCAACGATTCAGATCAAGGGTGTTGTATTCAGGATGAGTATGGAACTATTAACAACATTATTCTTGTTAAGGTATTGGAGCTCATCCCTTCAACCTTACCTGCTGAATCTTTCCAACCAACTATGAACTTGGATAATGTTAGGATTATGAAGCATGCAGTCAGTGTTGACAGTTACTTTGAGTTATTTCTTATTTGTATTATCACCTTGTAGCACTTTGCTTGTGTAGTATAATAGTTTTTTATGCTGGACTCATGTATTTGGATTATATACTTGTGTCTTTGTCAGTCTTCATCATCAAATGGCCCACTTCCTGAACCAGTGCCGCGACCATCAGATAATGAGATAGATGTATCTCGCCATCGGTTATTTAGGCATCTGTCGTCTTATACGACATATGAGTTGATTCCAAATTCAGGCAAGGTTTGAATGCCTTCTTCTGTCTATTTCTGTTTCGACATGTTTTTCCTTTTTTATCGTCCATACGTGGGTTTATTGATTAAATCAGTCTGATAGTTCTGTGATCATGTAGGTTTTTGGATTGGATGTTGAATCAGCCATGAAATATGCCTTCCATGTTATGTACGAAGAGGTATCAGAAAACAACAGAGTAATCCATATTTACCTGTAACAAAGGCCATATATGACTTTCTCTAGTTTAAGGGTTTGTTACAATCACTACTTTACTGGAGCCTTTAACTAGTTCTATTCATAATTTATCTTTCATCTTCGCCATTGAGGCTGTCTGTGTATACTGTGAAATTGCGATAACCCTAAATTTTCTACAAACCTACCCTTAAATTATTATAATTCCTACCCCATGCATTGGTTTTTAGTGATCCACACTGGAAAACTCCAATTACACCTTGCTCTAACTGTAGAGCCTACATTAATTGCAGCTTGGCCATTTTTTTCGCTCCTATGGCCTATGTGATTTGGAAATATGACACTGAATACCAATACTCTTGTTTAAATTACTAAAATTTTGCTATGTCCTTGTGTATGAACATTATAATTTTTTTGCGAACTGCAGTTAAAGGTTTTTTCCCCCAAAATGAAAGAAAAGAAACGTACTGCCTTCAAGGCAATTATACTGCCCAAATTGTTTGCAGTTGCAGATTATAGTTTGTGAATGCTGCTTTAGTAGAAGGTTCTAAGGTTAGGTCAGCTAAAGTTTGTGAAATTTTTTACCCAAGAATAAAAGTTTCTGAAACTGCTAGTGTTCCGAAAAATGGCTCTTACAAAGGTCACGAGGAGTTCAGGCCCAATTATACAGTTGTATATGGGTTCAAGACACGTGATAACATTTTTTTAGAAATCTATACTACCTTAGGCTGTACGCGAATTGTTATAGAACGTCATGATGATTGCTTAGACTTGTGAATGATCGATCATATGCCAGTTTCCTGTCAATGTAGAAGCAACATAACTTCCTCCCCCCCCCAAAAAAAAAAAGCATTCTTAACTTTGGGACTGGTCCGAAATTGTTTTACATTTCTTTAGCATCTTAACCTTCTTTGTGTTTTTCTCTAGGGACTTGCTATTTTGCCTCTCTGGGATCAAAATAGAAGACAAATTTCGGGGATGTTAACCGCTTCTGACTTCATTTTGATTTTAATAGAGGTAATAATGCAAGTTCTTAACTTTTTCTGAGTTATGTTATGTAGATTGAAAAAAGTTTACTTAATCTTGACCTAAGAAGCATGGTCATGGACACGTATATGACATGACATGACATGACATGGACACATCGACACAAATTTTTTCAAAAAAGTAGAATACGTACACGTTGGGGACTCAATACATAATATGCACGCACACACACACACATAAAAATATAATCATATGAGAAAATATATATATTATCATCATAATCTTTTAATTCATCATTTTCCTAATTTACAAAATTCACATCATGATATCACCACATAAAAAATACAATATAAGATATGTCGATACACATTCATCATTAACCTATATGATCCAACAATAAATGACTATTTCAATTTTCATTTTCAAAAATATATTACTCTGTAACACTAATTTTCATCAAATTTTAAAAAGCCACAATTTTTTAACCCAATTTTTTTCCACATTACTTTCATATTAAAAGTTTATTCCATTTGTATAAAATTTTGTATACTTATCTGAAATTATGATATAACTCATTTTATTTTATGACTGACTCGTATCTTTTTAAAATTACAAAAATAACTCCCTTAATTATAAATTTATCTGAAAAAATTTCAAAAAATTGAAAAAAAAAACACTTAAAACGTGTCCTCTACGTGTCTCTAGCGTGTTCCCAACGTGTCATGAAAAAAATTTAACAATAAAAAATCAAACACTCATTTTAGCGCGTCCGACACGTATCCGAGGTGTTTGAAACTTGTCTATGTCCCATACGTGTTTGACATTGACAGGTCTGACACTCTAACCAAGGTGTTTGTGATTCCTAGATCCTGTCCATCTCTACTTAAGTAATTTGTATCTTGACTTTTTGTCTTAACATCACGAGTTACTATGTTCACGGTTGGTTAGTTATTGTACAAAAAGGAAATGGGCCAAATCCTCCATGTAGTTATAGAATACTAAATCGAACTACACGAAGCTTGCGTATCTAGTGTGAGCAAAAGAACCTAGCATATTCAAAGGTCAGCCTTACGAAACCTTCCATTCCTAAATTTCTTGGTAAACATTAGCTCTAGAAAATGGAAGTTTGATTTTGTAAAAGCTTTGTGTGTTTCTGACGTTCAGAATGTGGCAAAGAGTAATTTAGGCGAGTTGCTTTCGAAAATTAACTGAACACAACCTGTCAACCTATTAAGTTTCCCCAAGGCAGAGCTTTAACAGATCGAAAAGGCGTGCCCACTTCACCCAAAAGAGAGCAAAAATGTAGAGACTGTGACTTTTTTACTGTCTAGTACTGTACAAGGAGAGCAGCAAATATCTGTTGAACTTATTTATGGTTAGCTGCCTAATAATCGAGGTTAACTGTCAAGAATGTATTACTGACCGCTGCTGCATAAACAAAGTCCATTTTTGAGGACTATGAAGTATTCTAGATCCTGGAGGCCATTTTTGGGACTTGGAAGAATCCCAAACTCTGGCTGAAATTTCATTTCTATTCCACCCTTTGCTGCCTTTAAGTTCTCTTTGATAAAATGAAACCGTTCTGGTTGGCTTTCATACTCATTAATTCTCTCCATTTACTGCTCCCCTTTATATGGGGAAATCACACTGTAATCCTGTATCACGGAGCTGGACCAAAAATACTGGATACTAATGAATCTCTTCCCTCCTCAGCACATAATCTGCCACAGTTGCATTCTTATTTCTGACATTCTGAAAGCTTGGGATTTATTGTTGAGGAAATCTTTCTCTCTTTCCTGTTTACAAGGCCAACAGGAGAGAAAATTCTGTCCAAAAATTGAAGTGTGCACACGCACAAAGAGAGAAAAGTTACCCAATAAAACCTTATTACCTCCTATTCTCCTAAGAAATTTTTATCTCCAATATTCTCCTTTATGGCCACACTTCCACTACACTTATGGCCAAAGGCTAGTAGTATCGGCCACATGTTCCCACAATCACCTCTGGGACAGTCTCTGTCGTGGTACAGTATAGTAGAGTTTGTAGGTCCCCACCTTTCTTTGAACTACACTCTTCGCATGCTGGCCAATAAATCTTTGACATAGTAACTACACAATGGGTTCAGTAGCCACTTAATGTGCAATTTTTTGGTGATTTAAATTAATGAGTGTATTTATTGTTGGCATGTCTTTTCTTTGATTTTATAGTTGATTTTCAAAGTCAGATTATTTGCACACATCCCTATTGTTGTATAGTTAAAGCAAAGTTTACCCCTTCTTGCAGCTTCATAAATCTCGTACAATGCTGAGTGATGAACAGCTTGAAATGCATACAATTTCTGCTTGGAAACATGGAAAATGCCAACGTCTCAGAGAAGTGGGTGGGACAACACTGTCACCATATAGAAGGCCTTTAATTCAAGCAAGTGCTCTTAACAAATATTTGTTGTTTATGGCTCATCTGCTGGGTTGTCAAGTCGATTTTGTATGGCTTGGTTTTTTTAAATTCCTCCACTCATTCCACCCCCCCCCCCCCCCCCCTTCTCTTTCCCTCCTTACCCTTTTGAGAAGAAACACGAAAAAAACTTGAGGGAACTCCTTGGTGAGAAGTTTTTAAAGGAAGATTTAGTTTGTGCTTGTCCTACTGTAAGAGTTATGTTTGGAATTTTTTGAGGTTGTGCTTTTTGGAATCTTATCCTTGTGGTTCTTTTCCCCTTAGTTTTTTTGTCTTTTAACCCACAGGCTGGTCCTGATGAATCTCTAAAAGATGTAGCTTTTCGAATTCTGCAAAACAAGATATCTACTGTGCCCGTGCTACATGCTGCAGAAGGTGGATCTTGTCCAAATTTGTTACATATAGCATGCCTTGCTGGAATATTAAAACGTGGGTTGTGTCAAATTATTTGGAGAACATTTCTATCCCGGATAAATTTGTGTATTTTTTCCGGTAGTTATATAGACATTGTATTGACAACTTGCACTTTGTTTTCTCTTTTTTTTCTTTCCTGGTGAACTTTAGATATATGCAGGCACTTTAGAAACCGTCTGGAAGATCTGCCTCTTCTACAACAATCTGTTTGTAATCTGCCATTAGGTACATGGACAAGCGAAGTTGGAAGAGCAAGTGGTCGTCTACTGCTAACTTTGCGTCCCAGCGACTCTCTTAGTTCCGCCTTTAATTTATTTATAGAAGGTGCACACTGACTCTGTATTCAAGCAAAATGTGCTACAAATATGTGTATACCACACACAAATAGATTTCCCCACACACCGACGTGTGTTCATGCAATGCTCTCTCTCTCTCTCTCTCTCTCTCTCTCTCACACACACACACACACACACGGTGAAAAGCCCTTCGCATTGGTATATACTCTTTTTCTATGAGACACTGGGAATTTAGATGTCATAAAATATTCTTGTAAAAGGGACTATTTTCAGTCTTCCTTTAAAGAATCATCTAATATCAGTTACCTGCAAACATCTGCAGTCTGGTTTATTCTATTTAATACTGGATTAGCTTTTAAGTTCCCTGATTGTGTCCTTGCTCCTCCAGAAAACAAAATTTTAGAGATTTTGTGCCATGAAATCATTGGTTAGCGGGGTTCGAAATGTAGTTGTTCGTCTAGAGTCTGGTATGAGCAGTCTTTTAGTATCAAATTGAAGTTGACCTATTACTATATAACTAGTGTTTAATGTGCTGAAGCAGATGTCTAAATTTGTTCATGCCATATATAGCTTCTTCCAGATACAAAAGTTTTTGACAAGAGTCCTGGACAACTTTAAATTAGTTTTGCCACATGGGAGTATTCAGTACTGATGTCACCATACTACATGAATAATTGGAAGTTATTTTGAAGCTTTATCCCTGCACTTCTTTGAATTTGGACTTATAATTTCATGCTGCATGCAGAGCAATTTGGCAATTGAATGCTAAACGGTTCTTTGTCATATGTGCCTTGAAAATTTCTGGTTTTTATTGCTACATTTAACTCCCTTGTGAGATTGGGTGCCTAAAGGCCAGAAAGGCTTTGGTCACATGGCATCAGGAACATATTTGGGTTGAAAGGGACAAGTTCCAGTTTGGATGTTTTAGAGTCCTGTGAATTATTTGTTTTTTCATCTCCCTTCTTGTCTAGCGTGGGAATCAGCCCTGCCACTCACATGCACCTCTCATTAAATGTGTATTCTTTGATTTTTGGATTTCACTGTGTATTTATTTTTGGAATTTATAAAAGATTACTGGAGTAATCAGGGCCCTTAGCTTGCCATGTGCTTTCAGAGGAGTTTTTTCAATATAGCCTAAAGTCTTGGTGTTTGACCAGACACTTTTGTATGCCAAATTTTAAGTTTATCATTTTTTCTTCTTTCTTCTCCTGGTCTCTATGTTATGTGAAATCATAATTTGCAAAAGTCAACTGGTGCTGATATTGTAAATGCTCAGGTCCTTGTTTACACAAGAAATCTTTATCATCTACTTGTTTGATTGTTCACAACTCAACCTTTATATCTGGCCTTGGTACAAGGGGTCATCAATGTTTATTACTTGTTTCGTTTTACATATCTTCCACAGAAGTTTGTAGAATTTTTAAACTTTAGGGTTTTTATTGTGGCCTAGATATTTACTCATCCTTTTTTGTCTTCTTTATTGCAGCCCAAATAAGTTCAATACCCATTGTCGATGATAACGGGGCCCTTTTAAATATGTACTCTCAGAGGTAATTTAACATGTGCTTTGAGTTAAGACTGTTGAAACATTTTCATAACTGAAATGAAATTTTCAACTTTGATTTCATAATTCTATAATTGGTAATTAATCTTCTTTTATCTAGTGATATCACTTCACTAGCAAAAGGTAGTGTGTATGCTCGCATTCAGCTTGATCAAACAGTTATGTCTCAAGTAAGTTCTGTTGACTCGTTCTTGTCGTGCATCATTTAGTGTTCTGCATTGATGTTTTTGACACATCATATTCTTTAATGAATTGTTTTATGTAGTCCCTCTTAAATCAATCCAACTTAGGAATACCAAAGACATGAATAGGGTTGCAAGTTTTTGATTTCTTGTGTATATGTTTCTGAATCCTTTAGACAGTTCAATGGGGATGGGAATTTTAATTGTTACTAATGAAGAGTATAACTAATTTCAAGGACTAACATGGGTGTATAGGGTGTCAAACGTGTCGGGTTAAACGGGTGACGGGTGAAAAATATATAAACTCGTACACGGCACGTTTAATAAACAAGTAAAAAATCTCAACACGAACACGACCCGTTTAATAAACGGGTAATACGACACGACTCGTTTAACCCGTTTAATTTTAAAAAAATTATATTAACAAATTTTAATACTCCATTTTTTATTGCTAATTGCACTTATCTCAAAATAGAAGATTTTTTAGTCAAATCTCATAAAAATAAAACTTGAAGGCCTAAAAAAAAAGTAAGTGGTCATTACTTTTTATAGGCAACTCAACCCTCCCTATCTCTCCTCATTTTTTAATGTGGGACAAATAAGACTTGAAGATTTAAAAAAAAAAAATAAGAGGTCATTGCTTTTTATAGGCAACTCAACCCTCCCCATCTCCCCTCATTTTTCAATGTGGGACAAATGAGACTTGAAGACTTGAAAAAAAAGTAAGAGGTCATTGCTTTTTATAGGCAACTCAACCCTCCCTATCTCCCCTCATTTTCTAATGTGGGACAAATAAGACTTACCTTTGTCTTTGAAGTGCTCTTCATCTCCTCTCTTTTGTCTTTGAACTACTATTTTGCTTTTTTTTTTATTGATTTCTTTACTTCTTTTTTTCTTCCTAATCTTTTTAAATAATTATTAATTTATTATTATATATTAATTTTATTTAAACTGGTAAACGTGTGATAAACGGTTTGACAGGTCTCACCCGAACACAATCCGTTTATTAAACGTGTTTGGCGTGTCAACCCGTTTATCACTCAAACCCGCTTAATTCGTGTCGGTTAATCGTGTCGTGTCAAATTTTGACAGCCTTAGGTGTATGCTTAAGGTTTCAAAGTTTTTTGCAGACAACAATAATTTTTGTAGTATTCGGCGTCATGTTTTCTTACACGACGTGCTACTTTGAAATCATATCAGGATTGTGAAATGGCATGATCTTGATTATTTCTATGTTACATCCACCAAATGTTAGAAAGATGTTTTCAAATAGATTGTAGGTGGGACCAAGAATAGTAGAGCCCCTTCTGAGTTCATTTCAAGACCAGGCATATACTTTAAATGGATTGCTGAGGAAAAAAGATTGTAGTGGGCCCAAGAATAAGACAGTCCTCTATAAGTTCATTTTAAGAACAAGCCTATATAATAAATTAATTTCTAAGCAGTTTTGGATATGATTTTGGCCAATCTGCTTATACTTCCCTCATTTGAAGGTTGTAAATTTTGTACTACCTAGAGGAATTGGTTAGAAAAATCGGTTTTGAATTAGTATCCTGTCATCCTAATCATAGGTCCAAGTCTTCCAGGCAAAGAAGTTTTTTGTTTTTTGTCTGAGGCTTACATGATTAATGGATCCATGGATAATTTGGCCAATAATCAAAATGTTATTGGGCAACCTTTGTGGAGAGATACAAAAGCTAATCAAGATGCTTTTTTTATAATGTATGCCCTGATTTTTGAATTTTTATCAGGCGATCGAACTGGTAGGTGGGCCAGCTTCTGGTAGATATCGGACATGCACACGGTCTGATTCCTTGTATAGTGTCATGGAGAGCCTTTCAGATCCAGGTCTGTATCTTCATGTGCTTTTGTTTTCTATTCTCATTATTTCATGTTCTATCTATGCTTCAAGTTTTAAACTGTTAGGTTGATGCTCTTGCAGTGGTGCGGCGCCTTGTTGTCGTTGAGGCTGGTAGCCAGAAGGTGGAGGGAATAATCACGTTAAGAGATGTATTTAACCTTATTTTGAGCTAAATTTTCTCGTAAATTGTTTCCCTGCCATTGTGGTTTGCTCTACTTTTTAATTAACGGGAACTTCTATGTCAATTGATCTGCTGAATAATTTTATCCCCGACCTTCTTGTTTGCTCCCCCCCCCCCCCCCCCCGGCGCCTTTGGATTGGGGTGGAAGAGGATTGGAAGCAAAGAAATCATAGTTACAGTAGGTGAACTGTAAAAAGCAGCCAGAAAGGGTATGTAATGGCTGAAGGAATTGCCCATTTTTCAGGCATAATTCTGATCACCACAGTTTCACCAGTCCAGCAATGGCATGGACCAGCATTTGTAGCATGTTGTTCTCTAAACCTTTAAAAAAGAGAAGAGCAGTGCACAAGACCATCTGTTATTGTGAGGTCTAAGAAGATTTATGTTTGCAGACTTACTTCCGCATGCAAGAAAGCTATTGTCGTGACTCAAAAATGGGACAATTTACCATTCTGTCAGTTAATTATTGTCTCTACAATCTCCAACAGAACCTCAAATTGTAGTTGTCCCAAGGGATATGTATTCTTCTTCTCTTCTGGTTGAACGATTAAGCATGTCCGGATTAGTTTATACATATATCGACTCATTCCTCCTCGATCCATGCCAAAATTAAGTTATTCAAGAATGACAAATTCTTCGTGACTTGGTCTTAAGAGGTAGTTAAGATTTTAATTTAAGACGTTTAGATTTACAACCCGTCTTTATTCATGAGGAATTTATCCCATAGCAATAAACTCACGTAACCCCCCATTCAATCCAACAAACTTATGTGACACCATTCAATTGAATCAAACTACAACCAGCATTCCTTTTTAGTCTCCTAGAATCCCTCAATCTCCTTATTTTGGCCAAAGCATCCCATTTCTCAGCATTTGCATAAACATTAGCCAAAATTGAATAAACCCCACCATCTTCAGGCTTTATCTCCATCACATGCCCAGCTGCTCTTTCAGCAACCTCAACATTCCCATGTATCCTACATCCCCCGAGCAACCCACCCCATGTAAACACATCACCCACATAACCCCCCATTGGCATTGCCTCTATCATCTCCATGGCTTCTCCAATCAAACCGGCTCGCCCAAGCAAATCAACCATACATCCATAGTGCTTGAGCTCTTGAGGAACGCCATAGACAGCCTCCATCTCTCCAAAAAGCCGCCTGGCTTGATCAATAAGTCCCGCATGGCTACACCCCACCAACACTCCCAAGAAGGTAACACCATCAGGTTGAACTCTTGCCTCTATCATTCTTGAGAAGTAATCAAGTAATAGCTTGCCATGACCGTGCATAGCCAGCCCAATGAGCATTGCATTCCATGTAAACACGTTCTTTTCACGGCTAAACTCGAAAATCTCCCAAGCAGTCTCAATGCACCCACATTTTGCATACAAGTCCACCAGTCCGGTGGACAAGAATGCATCTATCCGAATTCTATTTCGCTTGATATAACGATGTATGCTTTTCCCTTTTTCTAATTCACCCAGCTGTGCACAAGCTGAGAGGGACGAAACCAGTGCAATATTATCAGGGGCTACCCTTGATTCTGCAACCATTCGATCAAAGAGTTCAATGGCCTCCTTGCATTGATTTATTTGGGCATACCCAGCCAGAAGTGTACCCCAAGACACTGAATCTCGTACAGTCATTTCTTCAAACAATTCCCTTGCCTTCCCAGTCTCACCAGCCTTAACAAACCCGTCAATCATCGCATTATACGAAACAACATCTTTGTCGCAACTTTCATCAAACACCTTAAATGCATCATGAATGTAACCACCTAAAGAGTACAGGTGAATGAGACTGTTACCCACATATATATCGGCCAAAAACCCAAACTTCAACGATTGAGAATGAAAGGTTTTAGAAAGCGAAAGAGAATGGAGTTGGGCACAAGCTTTGAGAGCAAAAGGGAAGGTATGGGTATCGGGTGGGACAGAGAATTTGCGCATTTGAACGAAGAAAATCAGGGCATTATGAGGAAAGGAGAGGAGGGTGTGGGCGCGAATGATGATATTGTAGCAGAAAGTTGAGGGGTCGTTAATGAGGTTGAAGACGGAGACGGCGTAGTGTATGAGATTGGTATGGTGGTGGTGGTGGGAGGGCGAGGGCGAGGGCGAGGGCGATGAAGGGAGGAGGGAAGTGAAGGTGTGGAGGATATGGGTGAGGAGGAGAGAAGAAGAAGATGGGTGGAGAGAGAGGAGGCCTCTAGTGATGGTTTGGGCATGGACCTGGTGCACTAGTTCTATGGTTTTGCACCGCTGTTTCAATGTGGTTATGAGATACGATGATTGCTTGCATGTTAGCATTAGTGTGTGTGTGTGTGTTATTCTAGTTTTTGGTTTGGTTTCTTCTCATTTTGTGCGACTTTGAATTGTTGTTTGTTTAGTTTGAGAGGTTTAGAAGATCAAAATTTTATTTTGAAATAATCTAATATCAGAATAAAATTTTTTGGGTTAATTGCAAGTTATACTCAAAAAAATAGTTTGAATCTCAATTTAGACCCCCAAAGATCAAAAATCTTAATTTACACCCTCAAAAATAAAAATTTATATCAATATGTACCTAAAATTAAATTGATAAATTATACTTAAATTATCTCATATTTTTCACTTAATCATTTGGGCCCCTTCATATTTAGAATATTACTCTTACATCTCATGACGTTTGTACACGTGTAACACGTAACCCCTTTTCGTTGATATATGTTAATATAATCGTTAAAAAATATAATTTTATCCTAATAAAAAATTATAATTTCATATTATTCTTTATTTTGTGGGTCCGATATAATCTAAAGTTCAAATTCAAGTTTACCATTTAAATGTCTAATAGAATGTAGATATTTATATAATATTTTTTATATCTAATGCAATATATCACTCAATGTGCAACATTTTATTCTATTAGACATTCAAATGATAAGTTTGATTTTAAACTTTAGAGTATATTGGATTCATAAAATAAAAGGTAATATGAAATTATAATTTTTTATTAGGATAAAATCATATTTTTTAACGGTTATATTAACATATATCAACGAAAATGAGTTATGTGTTACACGTGCACAAACGTCATGAGATGTAGGAGTAATATTTTAGATGTGAAAGGGTTCAAATTATTAAGTGACAAGTATAAGGGGATCTAGGTATAATTTATCAATTTAGTTTTACGTGCACATTGATACAAATTTCTATCTTTGATGGTGTAAATTAAAATTTTTGGTTTTTGGGGGTACACATTGATACAAATTTCTATCTTTAATGGTGCAAATTGAGATTTTTTATCTTTGGGGTGCACATTGATATAAATTTCTATCTTTGAGGGTGTAAATTATGATTTTTGATCTTTAAGAGTGTAAATTGAGATTCTAACAATCTTTCAGGGTGTAATTTACCATTAATCCAAAATTTTAATATTTTAATACATTTGTATAATTATTTCAAAATATTTCAAGATATTTATATGTTATGAACAAAGATTACAAATAAATACTCAAAATAAAATAGAAAAATACATAATACAAATTTACGTGGATTGGCTCGAAAGCCTACTCCATGGGTGAAGTGCAGCAACAAAGTTTCACTAGTAACAAAGCAAAATTATATAAAATTTTCTAATCTACAAAATAGAAGCAACACATGCATACCCAAAATTAGGAGCTAAAATCCCCCAAAATTCGGAGCCAAAAAGGCCAAAAAAAAACTTAATAGTCTATAATCTATTTATAGACCAAAAATATTTTATTTCCTAATACAATAGGGTTTTTCCTTGCTCTTTTACTTTTTTTTTTTATTGGAAACGAGATAATTGTATATAACTATGTAGGAAAATTCATATTACAATCCGACAAAATAGAAGCCATAAGCTCGGGAGGGGGGGGGAGCCTAACCAGTCTAATGGAAAAGAACTGGTTAGTTTAGCAACTGCCACCTAATGAGCAACTCTATTACAGGCTCTAGACTTGTGTAAAAAACGCAGGTTATGAACTTGAGCTAAAAATCTAATGTCATCAAAAATTACATGGGAATCCCAAGGAGGAACATCCTCAGTAGAGCTTAATTTAATAATACTAAGACAATCATTCATAATAGAAATGTAAGAGAGCAAAAGAGCTTCAGCAAGTCTAAAACATTAGATTTTTAGCTCTTTTACTTGAAGTCGAATTCTAAAACATTCATATTTTTAAATTCTTAAAGAAAACAAAGTTCGAATCAGTTTTTTACTATGACTAGAATACAAAATACCCACAACATTAAAATAATTTTTAAATTTTTTATTTTTTTTCATTTTGTTTTCGAAACGAATTGAAATGCTTTCGCAACACGTTAAAATATTTTCATTTCTTAATTGACTGAAATAATGCATCGAACACAAATTTTTGAATATATGATAATTGCTCAAAAGTAGGGTACTCAGTTTTTAAGTACTCCAAAAAGAGGATGGGAATTAATATCTTAGAAAATACCAATAATAACCTGTATTTTTTTTAATTTAACTCCACCTATTTTCAATCTATCTATTACTACAATTTCTTTCATCCCATTCAAAATGTGGTTCCATTAGAAGGAGCATTGAGGGAGATTTTTGTTTGTTTTTTTCACAGCGGAGAAATATAAAAGAAGAAAGAAGGTGAATTGAATAAACAAGCGCATAACAAAAGCGTGGACGGCAGGATTCGAACCTGCGCGGGCAGAGCCCACATGATTTCTAGTCATGCCCGATAACCACTCCGGCACGTCCACTTTGGTGTAACAAAACTGACTCCTCTTTGTATCTAAAACATTGGAGACCACATGAGACATCTCAAGCTATTTTGATCGATTCTACCTCGACCTCATTCAACTATAATTTATCGTGCTTGGGTAGTAATTTTTAGGACGATACCTACATTTGTAGGAATGATTGTGCATCTTTATAAGACTATTGTTTGGCAATAATTGCAAATTAAAACCAAGTTTAGGATACTTTACTTGGTGAAAAATAATATTTATTAGTATCGTTTTTTCTTAGACAAAAATGTTAGTAACTTGATCTTTTCTTTTTCAATGGGTAGTTCAAGTGATTATAGGGACGAACTATAAATTCAGATATCTTTAGTTCGAATATTGGCAATCCCTTGAAATTAGGTCATAAGAGAATTATCTCTCGTGAATATCTTAATCTCGGCGTTGATAACATGTCTTTGACCAAACCAAGGAGAGAGTTAGTCGAGGTACGCCTACCAAACATCCCTTGAAGCCAGAAAAAAATTTATCTAAGCAAAATTTGGTTTCCATCCTTCTGTTTTAGAAAATCTTTTGTTGCCTTCATCATAACGCTAGGAATCTTATTTGCTTGGGCGGAGGACCATAGCCTTACCCCTTGTTTCTAGTCACCAGCAAAGGTTCTACAGAGTGCATTTACTAACAAGGGCAACCATGGTTCAAGATCACGACATGAGTATTTCACTCGAACGATATTGAGATGTCGGGTTAGTGTGTTACCAAACAATATCGAATGATTTGCACGAGTAACACGAGACTTGTGGTTTGTAAGGAATGGAGAATGATATTGAACTGAAGGATGTCGATATTTGTCAATACTTTGAACCACAAAGGCAACCCCAATGGGAGTTTCCCGTGATGTAAACCGAAATCATACATTTTAAACTTAGCAAGCAACCACAATGAATAATGGCTAAAAACAATAAATAGACAAAACACTTAAACAGGGGATCATCCCTTCAGTATCTTAGTGTTCTCATTCTGCAGCCTCAGTACAGAATTACGCCTTAATGCGAAGCAGTCAAACAGAATTACGCATGAACTCCCTCCAAATCCCAATCAAAGAAAACTCGGGCCACAGGCTGAAAGAAGGAAAAAAAAAAAAAAAGGGAGGGGGGGGGGGAGGAAGTATCAAACAGGTCTCCATCTCCTTCAGAGTAGGTTATTTCATGCTCGCCCAGCCGCAACAAAACAGGGTCCTTTCATGCTTGCATCACACTTTCTTTTATATACACATACACATTCAAAGCTTCTTCAAAAATCAATCCAGCATAATGATATATAATAAAACTTGCTTGCAACATTTTGTCCACCAAAAACGGTTACAAGGAAATAAAGTTTGACATTTCTTTGTATCATCAATATGACAAAAATGGCAAGGTCTACTCCTTTTATACTCATTTTAGAGATGTGGCAAAAGTGTAATGTATCATACCTAGCGTTAAACAGGCAAATGTCAATTGAAGACTATCCTCATTTTTCAGTGTAATTAGTCACGGAGGCCTGAGAAGCAATTTCTTCAGCACAAAACCCTGTGGCTATCCCAAAGGAAATTACCCTCCACCTCTAATAAAAGTAATCTTATTGTTCTTATCATCGTCAGATGCATTACCAATTTCCGACTTCCAAATGAGTAGAAGCCATCCAGCATGACCACAGCTCACCTAACCAAGATCTAGACTCTTTGTCATGGTTTCATATACCAGATATGTAATGCTTGCTGCTGGTACTACTTTGAGAAGATTTGGGAGAAGTCCTTTGTAAAAACCTCTAAAACCTTCATGCTGAACAGTTCTTCGAATTACATCAGACATTCCTTGGTAAGGAGCAGATGTATTAGAATGTTGAGCTTGCATTCTGAAAAACACCAAATCAAGTTTTCATCACCAGGGAACATTTATATATCAAAACTTATTCATGGAAACCAAATAACCAGGTAGACTGAAACAATCATACATGAATTTTTACCTTGTTCTGATGACCTGCAATGGATAAACACATGTTGCTCCAAGAGCTCCGGATATCGTCCCACAACCTAGTTGCACAAGAGGTCCAGGTTCTGCAGAGATGCAACAAAGGTAAATAAAAGAAATGAAATACTGAACCGAAGGCACACAGACATGTGAAAAACCATACCACCATCATGTAGAATATATATCTTTGAAAGATCTTTCAGGGTCTCGTAGGCTGCTAAGTCGATGCCAGCATAAGGAATAATTCCAAGAAGAGATGGAACAATGCCTCTATAAAAGGCCCGAGGTCCTTCCTGAACCCATATATCTTTTGATAGTTTTCCCAAGCTCGGAACCTTCCCACCTTCACAAGCATAAGTCTGTAACCGGGTTTTTACAAGATCCATTGGATAAATAGCAGTTTGTGCCACTGCACCAGCCACACCACCAGCAATAAGCCGCCCTGAAGTTCCTATATCAGCCTTGTCTTCCCCTTTAGCGTCTCCAATAACCTTCTTCAACGTTTCATAAGTGTAAAATTTGATGGCGCTTTCAGGGGCAACCTTCATAACGTTTAACCCATTACCTCGGAAAAACCCCAAGAAACCACCTTCTTTCCATATCTTCTTAACAGCGGGAATAATAGAAGTACGTGCGGTCTCAACCTGTAAAATCACCTTAAGGCGGTCGAGAGGAGCAGTTGCAGTACGAGAAGCAGCTCCTGCCACTGCTCCTGCAATCAAATATTTGGTACCATGAACATGCTTACTGATGCCTTCAGGAATGACAGCCTGTTCGCCGATATCTACAAGATATATCCTTTCCCAATACTGGTAGATGTTTTCAATAGTTGCCTCGTGGGGATAGAGGAAAAGAAAATCTCTCCATTCTTCAAAAGTTATAATTCCATTATTATCCTTATCAACATGCTCCACAAAACGAGCAAGTTCATCATCATCAATTTCAATCCCTGCAAAAGTGAAACTGCTGTGGCTTATGAGATGAAGACGATTCATAAAATGGGAATCAGTGGCTGCAAAATACTTACGACATAAGATATTAAAATATAGATAATCTGAGAATTCAAACTGAAGAACTGCTTCACATTTTTCGAATATCAAATGCAAACTCATTAGAAAAGAAAATAGATAAGAAAAAGGTGCATGCAAGGCATTCAAAACAAGCATAATACATTTTATATTGGTGAATAGGCATATCGATAAACAAAGCATAAACAGGCATATCGATAAACAAGCATATCGGAGGCATTTCAAAACAAGCATATATATGATATAATATGGGAACAGTTTTAGAGGGGAAAAAGAGGATCAATGAACGAAAAACTATAAGCTGGTACATTTTATGATCTCTGCTCAAATCAAGGATAGCTATGAAGAACGAACACCCTCAAGAAGGTGATGTATCTGTGTTGGACACCTATACTCCTCAGATTCTATCGGATACGTGTCTGATACTCTTTAATCCATGTCTATAATTAAGTTATAAAATTTTAATTTCAATCACATGTCCGACACTTCTTCGGTGATATGTCTAACATTTCTTTAGACCGTGTATACGACTAAATAATAAACATGTTGACATGTGATTAACAACAATAAAATATTTGACTAACAAGTATATTATACTATGAGAGAACATATAATTACTAAAACTAGACCTATTAAAGTTGTACTTAAAATATAATAACAAAAGCAAAATATGCATAAAAGATTTAAAAAAAATAATTGAGAAAATGAGAGCAATCATTTAAATTACATATGTTTGATATACGTCTACGAAAAAATTGATGATTATTGACTATGATAATATTAGTCTAAAAATTCACACTAAATGACTAGACATAATATTTACTTATCATAAAATACTGAATGTTTTATTAATATTATAGCATTATCACTATATATGCGACAAATTATATAATTTTACATATAAAACACAATTATCTGTAGTGTGTCATTGACGTGTCCATATCCTACCTTTTTGAGAACTGTAGTGTTTGTGTATCCGTGTCCTATCATATCAGTGTTCATGCCTCTTAGAAGGATAATATTTGCTTTCCCTTGAAGTTCAAATTTGTAAAAACAATTAACTCGTACTCGACCCCTCTTATGTATATAAAGAAACAACAAAATGAAGGACTTAATTCCCAATGAAAGACAACACTCTTAAACTGAGGGCATGAGACATTCAAATATTGTAGTATCTTAAATAACCAATGCAAAAAATACAAGCCTCAATTAGATCATAATACTTCTATCTATTCACCAAATCGGCTTTAGTATTAAGTACCATCCATTGGACCTTATATGTGGTCAACGAGTGTGTGATCATTTTTTCTCTTTAATGTTCAGCGACATATCTAATCTATGGAGATGGCATGGGATCCATAAAGCAGCATGCAGGCATCGAAGATACATCTTCGGCTTAGAAAGGACTATGTTGTTTCCACCCTTAGTTCAAGAATTCTGGCCACCTGTACTAACTATTAGTATAATAATTGATGCATGGTTATTATACTCCTCTTGTTGGAAGAGAATTTCTCTTTTTTATCTCCATGATGGCCCCTCACTGAAGTATTATGACCATTGCTGCACATAACAAGAGAATCACATTGTAAATTACAGACCATGAAGATACCTTCTTAGGATTTCCAAATTACTATGCATCATTGAGCTCATTCAACCACTGTGTAATTCAATGAAATCTTCTGAATACAACAATGTTACTGAAAAACCAACCTCTTACCACTATGTTGGTAGGGAAGGGAAGGGGGGGGGGGGGGGAAAGCAGATTTTGAAGCACTGTAATGGCAAAAACACTTCCTTCGATAACCAGGTATCTTTCTGCTCAAAGTCATTCAAGGCCTTATTCTTACATTTTGTACATGCCTCAGACAGAATAGAACATCATTCTTAAAAACCAAAAAAATTATGTCACTTTATATTGCACCCTTTTTTCAGACAAGCTTAAAAGAACCCTTCACATTAAAAAAAAAAAAAATTGTGGCAATGACAAATGCATCAGGGGGCCGGGGTAGTGGATGACAGTTTTGAAAAAAATCCCTTGCAATACAATGTACTATCACACTCTTGTAATGTTTCATACAAAAATCCCACACAGTATAATGTAATATTCACACTCTTGCAACATTCAGTTTAACTTCTGTGATAGGATGTGACTTTTTCGTTTTCCTTGCAGAAGGTGACCAAAAATGGCAAAGCAAATACTCAACCTACTTCAACGCCACTTGAGTCTCAAATTTCTATTTGCCATAAGTATGACTGAGTTTTACTACAATAGATTACATCTCAGTACTGTCTAGGAAGATAATCAGATATTATCTATAAGTAAATCAGGCAATTACAGCTCTAGAACAGCCACTGCAAGTCCCAAGATTATTTTAACAATACATCCTCAGGAATTCCTAAATTTCTAGCTGTGCATTCCCTCCCTCTGTTCTAATAGCATCACACAAGAGTTAATCACAGCAAATGCACATAATATGTTACATGGTGTAGCTGCATCAAGTGGTACATGTAGTTTCAACATTTCTGTCATGCAAACACACACAACATTTCCTTTTCATCTCATTCCAGTAATTACTGAATCTATTTTCATCTTATATCATGTAAAACCTACAATGAATTCAAGACAATTGGGCCATAAATATTAAAAATAAAAAAAAATACGAATTAACAACGAAGAAAAGTATGGTATACCATCCTTAACAAGTGCATCCCAAAGCTCCTCAGGTAAAATGCACCCATTATGCTCGACATCAATAGCCTGAAAAATCCTATAAAGCTCAAGCTCCTTATCATCCATATACCTCCTAAACTCCTGATAATCCACCCTCCCATCCTTATCAGCATCGCAAACGCTCAACAACTCCTTCGCATACTTATACTCCGCCGGAATTTGCAGCGCAGACAAACCCGTCTCGATTTGCCCATAATCCAAATAACCCACATTAGCCCTGTCAAAAAAATTGAATAAACTCCTAATTCTTGAATCTCTCTCTTCCTTTGTTTCTCTCAATGCTGCCAATACATGATCCATCGACACCGGTCCCGGCTTCTTCACCGGATTACAACAACCGGGCCGGTTCGGCCTGTGGTCCTCGGCTGCCTTCGCCGGAGAATTCACATCCTCCACGGCCTGACCTGGCCCAGACATACTCATTAACCTTGTCAAATCCTCAAACCATCAAGTACACCAAAAAATGCCCAGATCTGTACATTTATTGATTGATACAATGCGTGTGAATTAAATAGAATTGGATTCCAAAAATTGTTTAGAGTGGAGAGAGAGAGAGAGAGAGAGAGAGAATATTTTGGAGGATCTTCCTTTGGTGGGAGGAGAGGAAGACCCGAGAAATTGACCCGGGTTGGTGAAAGGGCAGATGGAGAACTATTAACCGAGTCAAAGAAGCGGGTCAAAATTCAAACAAAGACATCTAGAATTTGACACTGTGACTAAGAGATAAGTGGTAAGAAGCAACGGACAATGCCCAATTCTCACACTGTAGGGTCCGCGTGAATCGGGCCTATGATAGAGGTGCAGGAGATTTTATGGGGGTTGAGAATCAAAATATCTCTAAAACAATTTTGCGTTAATTACAAATTTTAGCTTGAAAAATTGTTCGAATTTTAATTTGTACTCTTAAAAATTAAAAATTTTTATCATTAATATCTGTTAATATAACTGTTTAAAAATATGATATCATCCTAATAAAAAATTATAATTTCATACTACCATTTATTTTGTGAGATCGTTATATTCTAAAGTAAAAAATCAAACTTATCATTTGAATGTTCAATATAATGCAGATATTTATATAATATTTTTTATATCTAATGCAATACATTACATAAACAAAATTATTTGAATGCCTAATTGGAGGGGACATTTTTCATCATATTTGGATTATTAATAGATGTAGGTGTAATATTTTCAAATGTGAGGACTCTAGATGAATAAATAACAAGAATGAGGGGGTCTGGGTATAATTTATTTATTTAATTTTAGACCACAAACCGACGAGTGTTAGTTTGAGATGTGCGTTAATGTAAATTTCTATCTTTGAAAGTACAAATTAAAATTTTTTATATTTGAGAATATAAATTAAGGTTCGAACAATATTTCAGAGTACAATTTGATATTAACCCTATTTTATATTTGAACACACAAAATAAGAGAGGTATGTGAAGATTAATGGGGTTGTTTGGTATTAAAGAATGTGTTTGTTGAATAGTCTAACATTTACGATCTTATAAAAAAAATAATGTTTTTGAGTTGAAAAAAAAAATGTGAAATGAATTTTGTATAAGTAAAACTAATTAGAAAAATATATTATATAATTTTTTTATATATTAATTATAAACAATTTATATAAGATATTAATTCGATAAAATATAATTAATTAAATACAAATTAATGAATAAATTAAATATTTTTTAACATAAATCTAATGCCATTTCAACAAATACAATTGCGACACCTATTATCGTTGAAGGGGCAGGCTTAAAGACAAAGGGACCTTTACAGTTCATCCAATACTCCCCCCAGATAAAGCACGTGGAAATAATGGCGTTTAAAGTTTGACACGGCAACATGCGTTGTTTACAAGCCAGAGGCCCAGGAAATTCGGTGGTAGGAAATAGCTGGACGGACGGGAATAACGTTGTTTAAATTCATAGTTTTGAAGTTTAATAACGACGGCCTATCCACATCGGATTGTCAATGGTGTGTGTGTGTTTATAAGTTTTCTTTGACCCTCACACTAACCGTGTGAGTAGTTGAAGTTTGATCAAAAAAATTAGAACCCATGTGTGTGTTTAGTAGGGCATCATGTGTCTCGGTGAAGGGTACGAGTCAAGGCTAATGTTATCTACCATTTGGGTTAAAGTCTAACACTATCACATTTGAGACATGTGTCCCGATGGCTACAGTACTTAGAAGGGTAAGAGCCAAGGTTAGTGTTATCTACCATTTGGGTTAAAGTCTAACACTATCATTTGAGTTAACGTGAGACTTTAGGTCTCTCACATGCGTAAGAGTGGATACAATAGTTTTGAGAGAACAATTTAATTCACGCTTCATCATACGAGTCACTTTATCTTTTGCATTCTTTCTAACATTTTACATAATCTATTTGTTTCACTTTTCACTTGAAAAATAATCAAACCAAACATTTTCTCGCTTTTTGGCAAATTATTATATGAATTTCCAAAAAGTTAGCTCTAACTTCAATTTATCTTCTATTATAATTTTTTTCAAATTTCCCTAAAGCCAAAAGAACTTTTTTTTTTTTTTTTTACAAACACAAACAAAAATACTACGGCCATCTGTCAAACTAATATGTAATTCTCAATTTAGCCCCTCCCTTTCAACCATGGATCGGTTGTCGCACGATCTAAATTAGATCCAATTTTAGAATTTTAATTTGAATATCTAACATATTTTTTTTTTCAGAATACATAATTGAATTTGCTAAACATCAAGAAACTTGATTCTAAAATTGAGCTGGGTAAATCAATTAGAAGCGAATTTTGGCAAATTATTTTTGAATTTCAACTCAATTTCGATAGATAATCACTCAATTCATCATATAATTGCGTATATAAGTATAGGATTTACATTAAATTACATTCGCATCGGATATTCATATATCCAAATTATAAATACGTAAATTATGGTATTATGGATTCAAATTAGGCATCACTAAATCAATATTTGATTACTCGTGTTTGAATCAAAATTCGATTTATTGATAAGTTCCAATTACTTCCAAATCTACACATTCTATTCCAATTTGAGCTGACAGTTTGTGCAACCCACCATGCACAAAAATAACAACCAACATGCTCTTACGGCTATGAGCCATGAAGTTGTAGTGCCAGTTGAGTCCATATGTAATGGAGTCATTAGACAAATCGATAAAACAGTATTGAATAAAGCGGGATGAACCTAGAGCATAGAATTATAGAACCTGGATTAGAGGCTTTTACTATTACCACAGAGGATTACATAGGGTAACTTACATTTTCCCTCCTTGTTTGTTTGTGATGCATCACATCACAAGACTATAGATTGGTATCCATCCTCTCTTTGGCTCCTCCACCCATAAACAGCTATAGCTATTGCCATTCCAAAAAAGGCCACTACCCAAACAGAATTGGGTATTGTCATCTTTTCATGCACCTGCAAGAAACAATCAACACTAAACTTGAGCTCATGGAAAGTTAATGTGAAATTCAGAAAAGTTTCAATTCATCAATAAGACTATCTGCTCAAGCACCCATTCCCTCGTTCAATGTCCATGTGTATCTAAATGAATTTTTTTTTTTGATAGAAACGGTAGGAATTATATTAAGATGATAAATCTGAAAACAAAAATGGCACTAGGAATTTTGGTGTCATTTCTTCCCAAACATCAACATTCTCACAACATCTAGCTTTTCTACTGAGCAACACAATTCCCTGAACGCCTAACCAAGGACAGAGCTAAGCCATGGCCTGGGGCTGGGGTGGCCATGCCCCCCCCCAACCCCCCCAAATAAGTTGGAGAACTTGGGGCTCCACAAAATTGTTGCTAAAGAGTTCTATATCTCAAAGAGACTTGACCCCTCCTTTGATAACTTATTTGTCTGTACAAGAGGATCTGTGGACCAATCAACCATGAGACAATGACATACTATTTTATTCTTCCATAATTAGATCAATAAAAGTTATTCTTTTCCCACTCGCTTCAAAAAAAATATCTATTTGGTAAATGGAAGGGCAATAAAAAAAAAATAGCACATTCTAATTTCTTTTGAGTTTTCATTCTTCTCTTATCAAAATTCCTAGCTGGTTGGCCCTTTAAGAAAAGAGAAGAACCCGTTGCCCACAGTCTTGAGTCTTTCACCCAAGGAACTATCATTAATATAATAAATAATTTCAGTCGCTGGTTTTTTCTCCATTGATTAAATGGTTAGTATTATTTAAAACTATTTCTTTTGTTTATCTTATTTTGGCGTGAATATCTTTGTTTATATTGAATATTTTACTTTGTTATATTGGAAATTTGAATTTTTGTTTGTGAGTTTTTGTGCATAAGATTTAGTCCCCCGAAGGATAAAATCTTGGCTCCGTCCCTGCGCCTAACAGTAGCAATAGCGAGAAATTAAAAGTTCTAAGAACACATTGAACATCTGCAACAATATTGCCCAAATGAGATAAATTCTCAGAATTGTCGCCAAACCTCTTCATCACCGTGGATGAATCCCCTTCAAGCACAATCTCCTCACACCCGAACTGTCTAGCAAATAACACAGCTTCCCTTGCAGCCATGGTCTCAGCAGTTTGCGCCTCACCCAATGCAACTATCTTACTTCGACATCCCCACAATAAACATCCCAGCTTCATCCCTTGTAACCACACCCACTCCAATAGATCTAAATGAATGTTAGGCTCCTAAGTTTGCAAGCAGTGTCATCTACTGAAAGTTATGGAGAAAACTTTGTGATTACGACAATACATCAGTGCACTTACCCTGAAGAACTTGGTTATTACCAGAATATATCACTGCATTTACCACCCCACGTCGTTCAGATTGATAAATTTAATCACAAAAAATTGTCAAAGATAACAATGGAAACATGGAGTAAGATCTTACTTGGACTGAAGCATGCAAAACCGGATTGGATTTTGGAGATGGTTCTGCAACCAAAACATAAAAGAGCCCCATGACTCCAGTATGCCTTTGGGCACTGCTATAATTAGATTCAAGAACCAGAGTCTCCCCATCAGATATCTTGACAGACCCTGCAGGTTGAGGATAACAGGTGGACATTCCTACAATATATCCTGCCTCATTTCCCGTACCTTTCCTTCTCCGTAAGTTGGTATTGATGAGCATATAACCCTTCCATCCTAAATCAATTCACCACACAAGTAAATAATTGAACAAATGCACTATCTCCACCAAACTTCCAACTCACAAAAGCAGACGAAGATTTTGACATGACAAACAATATGCATTTTAATCATCGTTATAAAACAAAAAACAAGTCTGTTTTCACCAAAAAACCAATAAATTTTTCAAACGAAAAAGGCTCCACATTCAAATCACGTGGAGCATTACGCTTACACTCTTAGATTGGGGTAAAGCCCCATTGCAGGCTCTTTGATTAGCCCTGAAAATCATCAAAGAGGCCACTTAGGAAGCTAAGTGGATCTATTACACACCAAGCAGATGAAAATACATGCAATCAAGTGGCCAAACCGGAAATTCAATAAGGAAAATCACCTCTCCATAAAGAGTTGAACCAACCCCTCCCGTATGCTGGTGTGCAACACCATAGACGACATCACCACCAGTTGGCAGACTCAGGCTTACCCTTTTGGTGTCAGTGCAACTGTCCATAGCCATGCCAGTGGAACAAGGCTCAATATCATACTCAACCTATAGAAGAATGTAGCTTGGAATACATAAGTATGCTTTAAAGGTAAGATCTTCAATTCTATTGATTTTTAAAATTAAAAAGACTGCATAGTGGTAGAACACTAGAATTCAATTGCATCTATAATTTCTCTCCAAGGTAGTAATTCAAGCCATTTCAAGTAGATAAATCCACTACAACGCAGAAGAAAGTGTTCACTTACTAGGCAATCATGTCTTTTCCCGAGTCCTGTTGATTCATTAGTCCTTTTCCATGTATCAGTAACATCCAGGATATAAATTATAACCGGCACAATGGAGTCATCCCAATCAACCCACTTGACTGTGTACCTCATGTATAGACTTCTCTTGGCACCCTCGAAGCCTTTTATTAACCTGCATTGCATCTCATCATAGCAACATTTCAACCCCCCGCATAATCTGGCTTCAAAGGTTGGCCATGTTCATTTTCTGTTACGTTGTATAGATCACACCTGCATTCAGTGCATCCTAATTTATCTTCTGCACCCCGTGTATCAATTGCATGGACATTAAGTAACCATCTCTCCTCATACCCAACAGGAATTTCTGCCTCATTACCAACTTCTATTCCATAAGGATCTGGCACATCTGTGGCTGTTCTTCATGTCTCAGATCCAAGGCCAAAATATTGGGTAAGACGAGGATCATATACCCCCTTGTTCCCTGCAATGATAATATCCGATTGGTGGAAACTGGAACCGGCATTATCCTGTGAAATTTCAGCACCTTTAGGTTGATAGTATCTTACAACAATCCAATGGTGGAGATAAGTTTCGTGAAGGGGGACAGGGAACCCTGGCTCATCAACCACTTCAGCATTGTAGCTCTTGAGAGCAATATGACCCCTTGGAAAGTCAATATTATAGTAGTACTTGTTGGACACTGATCCTGGTTCCAGCACAATCCTAGGTGATAGAAATACTGCAGATTTTACTTGATGTTAGTCTCTTATACGAGCTTGTGAATTTCAAACACATATCACCAAGAGTAAAATTGCTATGGGAAGTAAACAAATTTGAGGACATTGTACCATTTCTTTTTCTTGGTGTCCGTATATCTGTGGGAAGCATAAATTTCAAATGAATCTTGATACTCACTCTAGAGAAATAGACCAACACTGAAATAGAAAAATTACTAGTATCAAACAGCATTACACTATACATGGGGTTCTTTCTCCTCCTTTAATTCATAGCAGATATTATATAAAATCTTATTGAATTGATTTCTTTGAACCGTCAACAACAGCAGATAATACGGATGGATGCACATGTATATATAGAGATATTGATCCAAGACTAAACACTTTTAAGCATTCAATTTTTAAAGACATGTTTTTTAATCTTGAAAGTCACAGAATAAGTAACAAAACGCATGAATTTATGGGAAACAAAAATCAGGAAAACACACATAACAAAACTACAAAAGAAGAAGCCAAAAAGGGCCATCTTCAAATTTCTCCATCAATATAATACGAGAAATCAATCATTGTTTCTGCAATTATGTTGTTCAGACAAATCTATGAGTAAGCAACATGTGAAGTTTTATTTTGGGGAGGGGGTGACGAGGTTCCAACAGGGATTAGGCCAACCGCTAACCTCAACAACATGTGAAGTTGAAAACAACATATCTATATGTCCCAACAATCACTGACAATTCTAGGTCTTTCCAGTCATCAAAAACATTGAAATTAATGAAAGATAATTTCTGGTCAAAAGGAAGATTAACGTTTCACATATTACACTGAACAAACAAGAAGTAATCCAAGGAAGAAGAAGAGTCTTCAAACTGATCAATCAGTAAATAATAAAAATCTGAGCATTATCATTATCAACAAACAAATTGCGAGAATATAGTATTACCCAGTTCATATATGAGATGGATGACTCAAGAGGACGAAGACTTCCAAACTATCAAGCTTCGTATATATCCAAAAATGGAAGTTGAACTGTGAGTACACACTTGTACCCAAATAACCATCTATTCAAAAACTCACTTGTTAGACTAGATTTTGGGCCTAGATTGGAATGAAGGACTTCTTACTTTGAAACCATCGTAAAACAAGACGAAATTCGAACAAAAGACATACTACTTTGATACTAAGTTAAATATTTTTACTTCAATAATCCAAACCATGACCCCTTAGATACGAATGAACATGAGTGTTGTTTAGGGCATTTTCAATCCAATTTTTTAAAATAATTACTCAAAATATATTTAAATATTATATTTTTTATTTTATCTAATCAATTTTGTAAGTACACTCCGATCCTACTTTCTATTTAAGTAACTATTCAATCCAATTTTTATTAACTTTCAATATTTAAAAAAAGTACAATATATATATGGAGAAGGAAAGAGGTAGAAAGAAAATTTAGAGAGTGAGTTGGAGAAATTTTTTTTGTATTTAACTAACTAAAATAGTTAAAAGAAGAAAAATAGAGAATGGGTCGAAGGTAGTCTTAACTTGCTAATTGTCTGTTTCGATGGGGGGCACTGCTTACGCCAATGCCGAGCAGTTTGGGACCAATCGAAGAAGCCAAAAAAGAGCAGGATAGGTTTCCTCTATCTACGGGGACTAATGAGTGTGAACTAGAATTTGAGCAATGTGGGTGTCAACGGCCGGCGTAGCAGCATTTTGGCAAAAAATTGACGTGATGGGCTGAGCAGGTGACCTTTCCTTGGTTTAGTAAGGCATATCCCGTCATAATCACTTAAATTTTTACTCAAATTAATTATATTAGAGGTACATAAAATATAAAATTTGTCAAATTTTAATCTCTAATATTTCAATTACATTATTTTAGTCACAAAATATTAAATATATATATAATAAAATAACTAACTTAATTTATCTTTAAATTTTCACGACTCAGATCATTTTAAAACTTTTGATCCAACAATTCTTGTACCAAATTTTACTAACACTCGTATCTCTTATCTAATTCTCTTACCTTATGTCAAACTAACTAATACAAATACACCTATCTCCTCTAACTCGCTCATTTTTAAAAACAAATAACCTATCAGTCCCTTCTCTCAATTGCTAACTCAACTGACACACCTCTAACACAACTGACACACCTCTAACAACTCTATCTTCCGAACTATCTCTCGATACCCCTCTCTCTCTACCTTGTGCCTACAACACACACCCTTATCTCTGGCTTCCTCTATCTTCATCTTTGATTCTCACTCATGCCACTCTGTAATCCATTGATCCACTACCCACTGTCATCCAACGCCCTCCTCTTCCTCCCTTTCTCTGATTATTCTCTCTCCAACAACACTAGGATCCCCCAACCATCGTCATCCATCAACCACCGGTGACTGCCTCCATCCAACGCCATCCACCACGGAACCCCACCCCCCATCCTAATCCTAACCCTAACCAAAGTTTTCTACCCATACATTGATTGGAAATTACAAAAAAAATCATTGTGATTATGCTTTAGAAAATGGTATAGAATTTTGCTAAAATATGACTTCAATTAGGGCAAGCTTGATGAAATATGTTCGGTGTTTGATTTCCTATGTTGGAATTAAATGGCATTGGGGAGTTGATGGCGTTACAATTTTTAGTGTCATCATTGGGTTTGTGATGACGGTCTAGAAATCGAGGCTGGCCGATTTGAAGTTCGGTTTTTTTGTTCAATCCATTCAAGTAAGTGCAAATTTTCTCAAGCTGATAGCTAGGTTGTTTTATTGGGAATGTGACTTATCTTACTATTTTTCCTTTTCTTTGAATTGGATATATTTGGTAGTAAGAGCACCTTTAAACTAAAATTTAGAGATTTCTTTATTCAACATCTCAAGAGTCCATGTAAGCCTCGGTACTGTATTTGAACAAAAACCTAAATATTCATACATTTCATCTATGGATGGTTGCTAGGAGTAGAGTGTGGAAGACAGAAAAATGTGTAGCAAAATTGCAACTCTGTTTTTTCTTTACTCTCAAGCAAGAGACTTTTTGTGTCAACACAAATCCTCGATGCCAAGAACGGCGTTGGAGAGCGACGGCAGCACTAAACATTCCAATCTCTGTCTACCTCACGGTAACATCTCAAGTAACTCTCTTTCTCCTTCTTTCTCTTCAAATTTTGTTTGTGAAATGTGTTTTTTGTTTTACTTGCAATTATGATTACAAATTTGTTTAGGTTTGTGATTTTGTTTGATTATCAATCCTATTTCTTTTCTTTGATTGGGGACTCTATTCATGCTCCATCAAATTTTAGTATGTTGATTGGCCTTTTATTTGCTCTTAAATCAACAATTTGTGATCTAAGAGTAGAAGCTCCCTTCCTCCTCCTCTTGCGACAATTCGATAAAAACTGATGATGACCATGTATTGGTCAAAGTATAGGGCAAGGAAGAAAATTATTGAAGGGAAATGTAGGGGATTTATTCGCGCGTTCGGGATGTCCTCCCCCCACAGAAGGATTTCAGCTGACCTGCGCGCGTTCGGCAGTAGCCTTTACCTCTCAGTGTCCGCAGGAGCTTCGTCCCACATCGACTGAGAGTTGTCTCCCCCCCTCGCATATAAGCCCTTGCACTCAAAGGAGGAGGTACCCACTAGGCACCTGATCAGGTCAGCTGAAATCCTTCTGTGGGGGGAGGACATCCGAACGCGCGGATAAATCCCCTACAAAAAAAGTTTTGTAGGGGATTTATCCGCGCGTTCGGATGTCCTCCCCCCACAGAAGGATTTCAGCTGACCTGCGCTCGTTCGGCAGTAGCCTTTACCTCTCAGTGCCCGCAGGAGCTTCGTCCCACATCGACTGAGAGTCGTCTCCCCCCCTCGCATATAAACCCTTGCACTCAAATGAGGAGGTACCCACTAGCGACCTGATCAGGTGCCTAGTGGGTACCTCCTCCTTTGAGTGCAAGGGCTTATATGCGAGGGGGGGAGACGACTCTCAGTCGATGTGGGACGAAGCTCCTGCGGGCACTGAGAGGTAAAGGCTACTGCCGAACGCGCGCAGGTCAGCTGAAATCCTTCTGTGGGGGGAGGACATCCCGAACGCACGGATAAATCCCCTACAGGAAACATCAGTCATTGATCAAAATACCAATTTTTTATTTGTGAACTAATGACAACCTCTATCTAATTTCTTACGTTTTTTTGTGTGTGTCTGTTCTATGTAGTGGGTTTATAAGAAAGTGGTCCCCTTCACTTTGTATATGGGATAAGAGATGGTGTGTGCAATTCTTGATGTTTGATTGTATTTGGTGAGATGCATGCTATTTAAGCTCGCAAATGCCTTGATGTTTAGTGTCATATACATGTTTGTCCTGTTCTTTGTAGTGAAGGTGAATTTTACAGTCAGAAAGACACATCACAATGAAGCTTAGTTTATGAAAGAGTATTTCTTTCGAGTGACTAATGTCATGTAAAAAAGGGTGACCATACAAATTTAACGATTGATCCCTCCAAAATCAATTTTCTAAAGAATATCAGCAAAATGCAGATTTTAGTATTTGTGAATCGAACTTCACATAACACTATATGAACCTGTATTATTACCTCAACATGTAGATCATGTCCAAAGATCCTACCATAAATTACAATGCATTTGCTTCCATTTCTATCTCTATTTGTTTGTTTTGGTAAAATGCATATGTTCCTTAATACGGTAGGATTGTGTTATATTACAGTGAATTGCTATAGCCTTTTTTAATAAGAAAAAAAGCTTTCTTTTCGTAGAACGGTGAAAAACTACTAAAAACATGGCTAAGTAATTGAAGTTCCACAAAGAATTTCAAATTTTAGTTTTCTATCCCTTTTGTGGTCTCTTTGTTGCACCGAAAGGGCTATTATTCAATTATAAATTAATGCAATACATTTTGGTATAGAAGACTCCAAACCTAAAGCTTGATTCATAGTAGTGGCTTTCAAACACATGCAAAATGACTTTCATGACAACGCTTACAAGGTTTTATGCATTCAATTATCCAGGTCAGTAAGGTTGATGTATTCAATTAATTTTAGATAAATTGCTAAGTTAATTTTCTATAGTTCTATGATTTTAATTGTCATGGGTCGACTGATTTACTAACTGTTTGATTTTTATTACAGAAAAGCATAGGGTTATGCGGGAAAAGGGTCGTGACTGCTGAGGGGAAGGCATTCTAGAATTATTGGACCTAGGCTTATTCTTTTTTGTGGTGATATGGCTTTGAGGTGAATTGCACAGTCATGGGAGCCCCTTTTAGAGCATGAAGTTTTCAAATTCACGCAATTTCAAATTAAGAGTGTTTTTTATTTTTATGGTTATTTTGTATATTGGTAGTAAGTATAATTGTATTATCTTAAATGAAAAATAAAATTCAATTACCATAATCATAGTTTTTTGATGGATTCTCATTTTTTCTAATTTGAGATTTTTTTTTTGTTACATAGCGGGAGCATTTTTCGATTGTTTTTTTGAATAGTGGGTCTATATTGATTAATATTTTGTGTTATATATTGTTTTCAAATGCAATTTTTTTTTATATAGTGCCTTCAGGCACGAGTAATGACTATGTTTTTATATAATTCCTTAAACAGACAATATCTAAATTCTTAACTATTTTTTATTATAGACTTATTACATAATAACTAAATATGGACAAAAAAAATAATTTAGATAATTTTTTGATCAAATTTTTACCTAAATTTTGGTCAAAAAACTACCCAAATTACATAATTTTGATCATAAGTTATCTAAATTTTGGTCAAGAGTTATTAATGTTACACATTTTTTTATCAAAAGTTATTCAAATTATGGTCAAAAGTTACTTAAATTATTTTTTGTCCATATTTATGTATTATGTGATAAATTTATGATTAAAAATCGTTAACAATTTAAATGTTGTCTGTTTGAGGAAACACATAGAAATATATTTAATATTTCAAGGACTAAAATTATACAATTAAAATATTAGAGATCAAAATGAGACAAATTTTATACTTTGAAACTTTCAATGCAATTAACCCAAATAATTAATTTGATACAAGAACTTTTAATTGAGAGATTTAAATTCAAATGAGAATAGAAGGTAAAATATTTGGTATGAGTTTAAGTAAAACATTAAAGTTTATTCTTAACTTGCTTTTATTCAAATAATTTGAGTAAGAATTAAAGATGCTCCAACAACAACAAAATTAAAAAATAATTTGAAGAATAGTTCAAATGATAACAGAGATGGATTATAAATTCAAGAGTCTTGAATTTGAATCTTCATAATCCTTTGGAGGCGGCTATGAGAGATTTATCCCTTATGATTATCCTAGTCTCGCATGGATGACCTGTTTTTAACTGAACTGGATAGAAGATTAGTCGAAGTAAGCGTAAATTGGACCAGACACCTCTGATCATTTAACAAAAAAAAAAAAAAACAACAAAAGTATTCACTTTTTTTCTTTTTTTCGGAGAAATGTTTTGCTACCCAAAATCCAAATTTTGTATCTCAAATACATATGCACCACACATTGAATAAAAAAACTAATTTTTTGGGACCCACCAAGTGAAATGTCCAAAGATGACCGAAATTTTTAGATCCAATTAAATGAACTTATGATATATTGAGATGAATTTATAATCTATTTAATGAATTTGGGATGGATCCCAATTTAATGAACGTTCCCATACTTTAGATCCAATTAGTGGTTATCTCGTTGATTTTACTTCAGAACCTTATGGTATGTTGCCACTTGTTTGCAAGACTCACGAACGAATAAGGATAATTCGATTTTAGTTTTAGTTTTTGTTTTTGGTTAGTACTATTATATGAGAGGGAGATGTTGAGATTTGAACTCACAAATTTAAAATCTAATAACCGAACAGTGATCATTAAATTAACTGCTGATGGTCCTTGAAAATATTGGCCCAAGTCCAGAACTGGGGCCTGCGTCTAGGGACTAAGGCTAAGTCCCCTGTAAGAGAGTCTCTTATTCCTGGAGGTTGTACACTACGCGGGATAATCTCATGTAATGAATAAAGGTAGCGATCCTCTCGATGATGGACTTAAAATAATCAAAAGGGTTAGGAAATGAGGTCAGGTGAACACGCAGCTTATCCCTTCTAAAGCTTAAGTTAGTAGGCTGGAGACTTTAGCACAGTGTTTCTGTTCTCAGTTTAGTTTTGCATTTGTGTACCTTTGTTCATCTTTTTTAGGAGTATTTATACCTGGGCTAGTAATGAGTGTCAGGATTTGGAGTCTCATCTTAATAGTTAATGACTTATACTCTTATCCATGTGTAATGAATGTTCTTTACTCAGATCCTCATGATTGGCTCACTTGGACGACAGGACGACTGCTCGGGGCATGCCGAGCACTCATGACCCTATTTCCAATCATTTTAAGTCTATCTGATTGGTGCTTGACACCTACT